GGCCAGCGACAGCTCTCCGTGGGAACAGAAGCTTTCTGGATTTTTCTGAGTGTTTGGAGGGAAATGCTCACACAGAAAAGTTATGCACATTTCCAGAAAGCTTTGTTTTGTGCGAGGGAAGTCCATGTGAGCTTTTGGGTGTGTGATTTACATGTCAAAGTGTAAAAACACATTTATTTATTTATTTGTTTGTTTGTTTGTTTATTTGCAAGTTGACACCATTCAAATCCTATGGGAACTGTTCAGCTGTAAAGTAAGAAGGGAAACTTCATGTTGGTGCTCGTTTGTTAAATATAAATTTAATCTCAGTATCACATTTTGAGTGAACTCAGAAGAGCACGGAGGTCATGGTCATGATCCTGTGTCAAATTTTCAGAGCTGAGATCCCCAAGTTAAAGGCTGACATTGTGGGGGGTAATCGGTTGTTTTTTCTCTCCGCTTGAGTAGATTGTGTTTGCCTGAAATCACAGGCTAAGGAAAGAAATCTCAACTTGTTTTACATTTTATGCCTTTACAACTAAATGAGGAGTTCACAGGAATTTCCTTGAAGCCTAGGAAAATTAGATTCACTAAGAAGTAAACACTCATATAATTGAGCGGTTAGCATCAGAAATGAAGGATAAATTATTCATGAAGGTATTACTGTTAGGGTTAGTCCATGGGACATGTCCAAAATCCAGAATCCCATGGAGGAAAATAATCTCTGAGTCCCCAGATGTTTTTCTTGGTCTGCAGATGTTCAAAGTAACGACAAAACTCTCACATACACATGAGCCCCGAGTGGAAGATGTCTGTCACATCTTCCAAACCCTCAGCGTCCCTGAGCCTCCACACCTGTGCAAAGCATGCACTGGGAAGGAAACAAGCGCGCTGCCGCCCTGTTCTTTCTTTCGTTTATTATAATCTCAACGTTGCCTTGTCTTCACCACCAGAAAGCAAAGGGGGTTGAAGAAAGGAAAAAGAAAGAACTAACGATAAGCGTTGTTTCTTGCACACTTCTGGGCCATCCGCAGAGACTCCGGCTGTAATTTCACTTCCTAGCATCATGGAGTTCCCTGGGTGTGTTGTGCTAATGAAGAAAGGAATGCTGACTAGCAGGGTACATCTGAAACTTGAGGGTCCCAGGGCTTCCAGGTTCAGAACCTCTCAATTCAGGATTTCTCAGATTTCAGACTCGTGATTAAGTACTGGTCCCAGGTGGAAATTAACACCCTGACCAGGCAGGGCTGGCATCAAAGAGAGCACTCTCTCTGAGCAAAACCACAGATCTTGCCGGATGTGGTGGTGTGTGCCTGTAATGTCAGCTTTGGGTGGGGGGGATATGGGGAAGAAGATCAAGAATTCAAGGTCAGGGACTGGAGAGATGGCCCAGCAGTTAAGAACAGTTGCTCTTACAGAGGACCCAGGTTCAGTTTCCAGGACCCACGTGGCAGTTACAGATGGTGGTCTCCATGGTAACTCCAGTTCTAGAAGCTCCGGTGCCTTCTTTGTCCTCCATGGGCACCAAGCACACATGTGGTACACATACATACATGCAGACAAAGTCTCTATACATATAAAAGATTTTTTTAAAAAAAAATCAAGATCAACCTTGACAACATAAGGAGTTTGAGGCCAACCTCAGCTAGATGAGACTGGCCCTGTCAGTTGGGAGAAAGAAGAATGAAGAAGGGGGAGGGGAGGAAGAAGGAAAAAGAGGAGGATGAGGAGGAAGGAGGAGAAGAAAGAAAAAGGAAAATAAATGTTCTTTCCAGGTGGAAGAAGTAGTAAAACATACCATTGAATTAAAAGATTGGCTTGCCACCAAATAGGTTAAGAACAGTTTGTTTGCTGGAGCTTTGTGGGTTTTAGAAGTGTGGGTAAAGGATTGTATACTCCTACTTTACTCAAGGATATTCTTGGGCTGAAGAGATGGCTCAGAGCACTGACTACTCTTTCTATAGGTCCTGAGTTCAATTCCCAGCGTCCACATGGTGACTTACAACCATCTGTTGCCATGAGATCTGGTGTCCTCTTCTGGCCTGCAAGTAAACATGTAGACAGAATATGGTATACATAATTTTAAAAAATATCCTCCCCCCATCAGTCATGAACTCTGAGTAACGAAAACGCAGCAGTCCCTGGACAAGAAAGCTGGAACTTTTAGCTCATGTGTTAGGCTACAGCCTTGTGGAGTAGCAGCCTTTCCCCTTGGGGTGACTTTCTCCCACCCCAATACTTAACCAGGCCCATCCTTCTTGCCTGCTCAGGTCAGAAGCACAACCTGTCTCTAGAGCATTTGAGCGACTTTCTTATTTCTAGTTGTGCATGTTGGCCAGGACTGGATGCCTCTAAGTGACTGCAGGTGTTTATAAACAGAAAAAAGGCAAACAGAGCATGTCTGCAGACTCATCCTCTGGGGAGGCCTGGGAGTCGTGGATCCCTTCCAGAGTATAATGGATTTGGACAGGCTTCATGCCCTGGTGACTTCCCTGCATGCTTTTTGTGTAACCCTGCCCTGGAGGAGAGTAAGAGAATCCATGGCAAGCCTCAGCAAGGAAGTGAAGCCTGCGTCTGTCATCAGGGATGTTTGTTTACCAACAGACCCGTGGTTGGTAGGGAAAAGGAGCTCTTCCTCCTTCGGTCCCTTCCCCAAACATACTTTAGACACGATGAGAGGAAGGAGCCGGAGCTCAGGTTTCAGCTCCATGAAGACACAGCTCACTGCTTTTCACAGTTCCAGCAGAGAAAACCTTAGCAGCAAAAGTGCCTTTCCGTGTTTAATGAGTCACCCTGGGCACTGACGAGCACTGAGCCAAATCTCCATGTTCAAGTGTTCATAGTTAAGGAGACAGAAAAGACCCTCAGTCCACCACTGTGGCTTCTCAAGTGTTTGGCCAACTGAATGTTGGCTTAAATTGTGCCTCCCTGGCATGTAATTCTCAGCCATAGTTGGTCTTCTCATTTTCCTAAACGCCAGGGGTTTTCTCTGTGAAAATCTCCAGTGGCTTTGCCATTGTCTGCAGGAGCACCTTGGACCTTTCTCGGCCATCATTTCTCAGCCTCAGAATGCTGTTCCCATGTCCCTTAATATGAATCTCTCTAATTGATCTCTCCCAACCAAGTTACATGGTTGATAGTAAATATGAGCTCTGTACCCTTTTCACACAAGGTCATCCCCAAAGCCCACTTTTACACCACACCCAAAAACGGCCTGCATTTCCTCGGAACTCTCATATTGCTTGTTTAAGTTAGCATGACCTAACTTCACTCCCCTCCCCACACCACCAGTGATCTTTGAAAGAACATCTCTCATTTTCTCAGCTACTGTGAGCACCTTCTGTGTATGGACTGTGTCCTATCCCACATACATCTCCCCCAGTACTTTCTTTATAACACTGAGGGCTCCAACGCACTGGCCAGTAGACAGCAAACCCTTTTTTTTACTAAGCGCTTGGATACGTTGAATCAAACAATTCAAAGTTGAGCATGCCCTTCCGATTGGCTGCTTGAAGATGACTACGTGAACATTCCTGTTTTTATTCTTAGTAAATCTGGAAAAATGCCAGCAATTCTAATGTTACTAAATATCTAGATGCTCATAGACTCCACTGAAGTGAACTTGGATGACCGGCGTGGTTTTCCCCAATCCCATTTGATGATGGAGCTGCCGAGGCCATTGCTGTTGGTGGTGTTGTCCACTCGGAGACAAAGATCCTTAAGTTGGCAGCATAGGTTTAAGGGTGATTGCTTTCCAGTCACCCCAGAATGTTTCCACCTGTGCCTGCACCCTTCCCATCCCATGTCCCTTTCCTCCTCCAAACTTTTTCCTCCTTTCCTCTTTACTTACTGATCTCCTGCTCGTTGCTTTTATGTGGTAAAGTCCAAGCTCCTGGTGGCCAGTGTTTACTTAGCTTTATATGAACAACACAAAAAGCTGCCAACATCTTAGGTTAGTGCTATGGATCTAATGCAAGTCTACACAAGATGAGTCCTGGCAAGCCCAGCTGATAAACTCAAGGCTTGGGGGTGGGCCAGTTTAAGGAAACACTATTTAGATACCAGAACCATGGCCAAGTGTACACTGTTAACTCTAGAAACTGGGTGTAGATGTAGACATCAGGAATCCCTAGCATAAAGGGGGTGCAGAACTGCCAGTGACTGGACATGTGTATGACCCTTTGACTACAGGTCACACAGCAGTAGACTAGCCGAGCACAGAAGAGTAAACTCACTTAGAAAGACTAAGGGATTTGCCGGGACTTTATTTCTGTAACTCTGGTTGTGTGGGTTGAGTGTGAACTTGTAGATGATAAAGTCATTGTTCCACAGTGCCAAGGTTGATCTTACCAGAACTCTACAGGATAGTCAGGCATCCGAAGAAGGTCGGTTGATCTGGGACAGTTTAAACTGTCTTCAGTCCCGAGCATGTGGGAGTTTATGGGAGATGATGCTCCGACTCCGGCACCAGCTCCATCAGCCCTCCCGATAGTTCCGGATAATCTGCCTCACGCCTGCTAAGTAGTCTCCAAGCTTGTCCCAAGGAAAGGCTGGTTCTGTAGTGCACCGATGAAACAGTTTCCAGCAGGAGGTGAATCCAGAGAAGCAAAACCTACTTCAGGAATGAGCAGACAGTCTGCCCTTCTTGGAATCTGTGCGCCCAACTGCAGGGGCCCGGAAGCTTCTCCTGGGATCCCCGCCCCCGCCCCGGGATCATTTTCTTCCCACATTCATGCCCAGTGCTGCTCAGGACCCAGAACACAGTCGGTATCTCTGTGAGGGCCGTGTTCGTGAGGCTGTCCGCATTCATGAGGCTGGCCCTGCGCTGGTAAAGGAGACCCCTCACCTTATGTGTCCTGTATTCTTTCCCTTCTAGATCACATAAACGAAAACAACCCCCTCCTCCTGTCACTTGCTGTTATAAGGGAGTAGATGTGGGGCTCTCAGTCAGTCAGGTTGTATGAAGCAGGGCGGTTATTTTCTCAGAAGATGATGTGATGTTTCTTGACTTTCTCTTTCAGCAATGAGGTGGTGAGGAGTGACCTAAAAAAGCTGCCAGCCCTTCCTACCCAAGCCCTGAAGGAGCACCCTTCCCTGGCCTACTGGTAAGACCCCCCTGTCCCAGAACCTTCTCACAGACAGGTCTCCTGTCTTCAAGGAGGGCACAGTCTTCAGACCACTGAGCCTGACTCTATATCAGCTCCCACATCCCTCCTCCTCTTCCCTCTGTGTCAGGCAACTTAGATTTTCAGAACTGTTTTCAGAGTTCGATGTAGTGGTTTATGCCTATAATACCAGCACTGGGGGAGAATGAGACAGAAGGATTGTAGGTTCGAGGCCAGTATAAGCTACACAGCAAGTTCCAGGATAGCTTGGGCTAGGGTAAACCCTGTCTTTAAAAAAAAAAAAAAAAAAAAAAAAAGGAAAAGAGAAAGTCAGAGACCATAATCTGCATTTATATACAGTAATATTTTTATGATTTCATCTTTGAATTGGCACCTCCTTAAGAAGCCTTTCCTGTGCTGGTCCAGTTTCATGTTGGTCCATGGATGGATGGACAGGATGTGGGATACCAAGAGGGGTGGGAGAAGCAGGGACGTCGTTTCCTTGGCAACAAAAGAAGCAGGTTTTCTTTCTCCTTGCTGTTCCCTATATCCCGATTTAGCCCGTTGTAACATTATGCTGTAGTTCATTCCACGTGATTTAGGCATTTGTGGTTGGGTCACGGTGGAGCAGGGCTCACATTCCTGAGGAGTGTGTTGGACTCCTGCTGGGTACTTATACACTGACCACTGCCCTCTGACAAGGACAGGACTGTGTCCTTGGTGTCCCTCCGGACCTTTCTCAGAAAGCTATGTGGCTACTCATCATCTAAGACACAGTCATAGCAGGACACCTGGTGTTATAGGCCTGATACCCCAACTTCTCAGAGGGCTGAGGCAGGAGGATTGCAAATTGAAGACCTCCCTGAGCTACAGAATAAACTCAAAGTCTGAAACTTAATGAGACCTTGTCTCAAAAACAAATTATTTAAGCCGGGCGGCGGTGGCGCACGCCTTTACACTCGGGAGGCAGAGGCAGGCGGATCTCTGTGAGTTTGAGGCCAGCCTGGTCTACAGAGTGAGTTCCAGGACAGGAACCAAAAAGCTACGGAGAAACCCTGTCTTGAAAAATCAAAAAAAAAAAAAATTATTTAGGGGTTGGGATATAATTTAGTGGTGTGATGTTTGCTTAGCCTGTGTGAGACCCTCGCACAAGAAAAAGAGAGGGGAGGGGAGAGTAGAGGAGGGAGGCTGGGGAGGGGAGAGAGAAGGGGGAATGGGAGGGGAAAGGAGACAGGGAGGGGGAAAAGGAAAAGAAAAGAGAAGAGAGAAGAAGTGGGGAATGGAGGAGAGGAGAGGAAGAGGGTGGGGGAGGGGACAGGAAGGGGGAAGGGGAGGGAAGAGGGGGGAAGAGGAGGGAAGAGGGTGAAGGGGAGGGGAGAGGAGAGGGAAGGAAAACAAAAGCACTGAACAAGTTGGTCCTAGTAACTACAACACAGCTCCCCAAGGCCTTGTAGATACAGCCTAAAATTTTTGAACTAGTATTCTACCTGTTTAGACACTGAGTGTTCAGTTATTCGAGTCTTCAGGATGCCGTCAGATTGGGTGGCTCATAGTGAGATGACACCCATACTCCGAACTCACTTTTCTCAGAGAAGCCCCACTCCTGAGGAGCTGGACTCAAAACTGTGAGTGCCTGACAGCAGATTCCCATCTCTCACTCCACCTCAGACCTGACCTATTATCCTTCTTCCTTTGGCAGTGTATCTATAAATAAAGAACAGGTTCATGCCAAGGAGGCCAAATTCAAACCCTGTCTGGGGGATATTTGTGAGATGAAGGCCAGCCTGGGCTATCTGGGGAGACATTGCCTCATTAAAGAAGATTGATGATAATAACTCGAGAGGCCAACAGTTCTCACATGTAGGGATGAATTACACTTGAGAACTGTAATGTGGTAGACAGTCTGGAGTCAGGATTGCCTTTGACCTAATTCATCCCTCAATCATGTCTTTATTTATTGTCTAACATGGTTAAACCAACCCCCAATGCCAATTGCGGAGCTCCCGTTCTTTCCCTCTCTCCTATTCTGGATCTTTCTTGCACTGTCTCCGCCAGATCCTCTGTGTTTGTATTATTAGTAATATAGAAAGCCTTCTTTTTGGCCCTGCTCTCTGCCTTTCATCAGCGTGAATATCTCTCTCCTGGATAGCTTACCTTCAGCCATCTTAACAGTATATCCTTGAGGCACATGACCAGGTCAGCCTTTTCCTCAGGCCTCAGCCAGACCCATGAGTGCACAGTCAATTGTCTAATGAACTGGGAGAGTGGCAGGATAGGGAAGCCAGTGTCACACCCAACTGTGAATGAATCAGTAGCATGGACCATCCGATGCTAAAGAACCCATGGCCCTTCCCCTGCCTTGTTGCTTTGTACTCAGTTGCTTGTGGCTGGCTCTGATTTTTCAGCCTATTTACACAGATTTCCAAAAAGCAAAGAGCGTTCAATTCTCTGTAGCTTGTGAGTTTCTCATTGTTATTCTGTCCAGTCCTTAAATCAATCTGAGGTATTATGGCCACAGTCTGCAGAGCCGGGAGCACCTAACCTTTCTGTAGGCTCCAGAGACAGGTGGAGTGGAGTGGGACAGGCTAGATGAGTCCCCAGCTGGCACTGAGTATGTCATCACATGTCAGGCCCCTGTTGACTTAATGGGAAGAAAGAAGTGGGAAAAGCGGAGGCGCGAGGAGGTCAGCACTGTGGCTTGCCAGGTGGCTTTAGATAGCAGGCAGCCAGACAAGATTGGAGGGGCAGCAATTTTTGCAGCTGTCAGGCCCCATGAGACCTTGTAATCAGGCCAGTAGAACAGCTGCCTGTCAGCATTGGGACTTTGGGCTGTTGATGTTTCTTAAACCTTGCTTTATGTTCATGGCACCAGAGTGACTTTCAGTCCCCACCCCTACTTTAGGGATGCTTTCGCCGAGAGCTAGAAAAAAAAATAGGTGTGAGTCTCCACTGGTTAGCTTGACCACAGATCTAGAAGTTGACCTCACCAAATCACAGTTATGTGGTAGAGAACATGCTATCAAGGGTCACGAACTTATAAAACAGAGGCCCTCGAAAAGAGGGAGAACAGAAAAAAGTAAGAGAAGGTTCCACTAAATTCTGGGGTGATGAATTAATAATGGGTGGTCAAGATCAGTGAATGAAGTCTTGAGGGTACAACCCTGGTATCACACATGCTCCCCATCATGACGTTCTTATACAAAGCTAAAGGAGTCCCCTTGTTGAAGAAATGGCAGGTGAGTCAGTGGGAATCTAAGTCAAGGCTATAGGGCAGGGTATGGAGGATGGAGCTTTAAGGGCTGTCCTTAATAGGTGGCATGCAAGACCTTCTGTGGGCTGGCACTGTAACCCCTGCACCTATAGTGGGAGCTGCCATTGTTACCACCTTTCTTGGTAGCAGTTACTTCCCCAGGGAGGCTGTGCCGTTACCTCAACCACACTCCATTCTGTCAAAGAAAATTTTGGCTAGCCATTGTCACCAAGGAGCCATTTAACTTCCTGTTAATTTTAGAAGTAAAACCTCAAAAGATAAATAAGCCGTAATCTTATTCTGTTAGCTAGTGTGGCCCTGGAATTTTTATTAACCAGGCCCAAATTCCAGAATTTTCTCTCTTCCTTGGAAGTTCTGAGTTCTTTTCTTTTTTTTTTTTTATTTTTTATTATTTTTATTTAAAGCCTACAGCGCCCGGTATTCCCAGGCGGTCTCCCATTCAAGTACTAACCAGGCCCGACCCTGCTTAGCTTCCAAAATCAGACGAGATCGGGCGCATTCAGGGTGCTATGGCCGTAGACGGAAGTTCTGAGTTCTTAACTACTCAGAACGATTTGGCCTAGAACGATTTGGCCTAGAGCCCTGGATAAGAACATTACCCACTTCCCCAGATCCCGTGTGGACTGGACCTGGAAAGGAGGAGGATCAGAGGGGAGAGCTGAGCAAGTTCAGCCGCAGCATCCTCTGTGACTGGTGCCAACTGCTTCCTCATGCTTTCCTATTCCATGGTATCTTGCAAAGAACAGCCCCCCAAACCTGCATGTTAATCTTATCCAACTGATTAGCAATCAGAGGTAACAGTAATGTAAGTCCTCTCAGGAGAAAACAGGCTTTTCTATCCCCACCATTGCTTAGAGACTTCGCTTGAGAGCAGCGTTGAGACATGTCATTTCAGGACATGGTTATTTTCCAGCTGCAGCTTCCTCAGAGGGTCTCAGGAGGATGGAGGGTGACGTCTTAGTGCTTTTGGTGTAGCAGGATGCTCAACCTCTAATGCCAGAATCCTTTCCTTCTGATTCTAGCGAAGACAGAGTCATTGAGTACTACAAGAAGCTGAATGGCCAGACGAGGGGTCAAGCAATTGTGAAGTAAGTGGCCCTTCTGAGTACGTACTAAGATTGTGTTTAGGAGCTGGAGAGACAGCTCAGTCAATAAGGTGCTTGCCCTGTAGCAGAGGGACCCCAATTCAGAACCCCAGAACCCACATTTAGATAGATAGATAGATAGATAGATAGATAGATAGATAGATAGATAGATAGATAGATAGATAGGCAGGCAGGCATCCTGGTGTGTATATAATGCCAGCACTGGGAAGGCAGAGGCAAGCAGATTCCTAGACCTCACTGGCCAGCCAGCCTAGCTGAATCAGGGAGCTCCAGGCCACTGAGACCAAGTTTCAAAATAATGTGGAAAGTAGTAGAGGAAGACATCAACATCCACTTACCCATACCCACAATTGTATAATTGTATTTTCAGATGCGCAGACACATGAATATATGCACATATACACAACACACATACACATACGCAAAGACTGTGTGTTAATAGGCCAGCTATCAAGGTAGTTAATTTCTCCTTGGAAAGATACATAGGGGGAGGGATGTTTCTACTAATTTCCAAGTTAATAAGCAGTCCAGAACTTCATTACACACATCAAAAGATCGTGTGTGTGTGTGTGTGTGTGTGTGTGTGTGCGACACCACTTCTGACTAATAACCCTTATTGTGTTGCCGTGTGTTGTGTGTTATCTTCACAGCTACATGAGTATCGTGGAGTCTCTCCCAACCTACGGTGTCCACTATTATGCAGTGAAGGTAAGTGAACTCTTTGGCTGAAGTCTGCCCACACTGTCCTGGAAAAGCAAGCAAGCAAACAGAAAATTTTCTTGTCTTTTAGTCTGAAGATTTGGAGGGGAATGGGAGTTGATGGAGGTTGGCTTGGTCAAAAGATTGCTTGCCAGGGGAAATTGAGCAACTGAATTTTATCCCTAGGGTACTAACACTTTGATAGAGTAACTCTCCAATACTCTTTTTTTTTTCTTTTGTGAAGTAATGTAATAAATCTCTACTTCCTTTCGGTCTCAGAGGAATCCTGGGAAATCAGGGTTTTGGGGCCTCTCACTAGAAAGGCTCCATCAAATACAAGGAACTAGGAAAAACCAAACACTTGTGGCAGAATGTCTTATTATCTCTTGGGGTCTGATGCCACATGGTCTGCTTTCCAAGGAGAACTGGACCCATTAAAAGGATCTGAGACTGTGTTCTTGAATGTGGCATTGTCAAATCCAATGTGTCACTAGCTCCTGTCTAAACTTATTAAGCTCCACCCACTCTGTGCCACACTGCCATCTTTTTCTGACAGGATAGATAAAGATGCCTCCTTTCTCAAGCCCAAGTTACAGTGTCGAGAGCAGGGCGATCCGGCCTCTGCGCGCTTGTTCTGTTCCAGATAAAGAAGGTGAATCCCCTCAGAGGTCCAGCCCCCTCAGTAATGTTGTGTGGGAAGATGTGGCCACTGACCCCCAAATAAAAAAAGGGGTTCAGAATCCCTCTGTGCCAGGGTTTAACACTCTGACTTCACAGTGTCACAGAGTTTCCTCTTGTTTTATTCAGCAAAATCAGTGCCATGCATAGGCACCTCCCAGAGACAGCAGCAAACGATCAACATACGGTCTTATACTGCATGTACCTGTCTGTCTGTCTGTCTGTCCATCTGTCCACACCCATATATTCAAATATCTTCATATGCACAAGGCTCTGAGTGCAACCCTCCATGCTGTAAATAAATAAATAAGCAAATAAATAAATGATTTTTTTTAGTGGAGTGGGGTAGTTCAGTGGTAGAGTCTACATTTAACACCCATGAGGCCATGAGTTCAATCCTCAACACCAACAGAAAAACTTGTAAAGAAATCATATACTCCTGGAGCTTTACATGATTCTTCTTCCCCCACATTCATTTCTTTGGTCTTTAATATGTCCGCTCACCTTGAAATAATTCATTCCTGCAAACGTTCACAGACCGCCATACTGATCTTGAGTCTCCAGGACTCTTGTGATGAAGACATCAATTAGGCCATTCACGCATGTGAAAATTAGTACAAATCTGTGGATAGGCTGCTTGCTGCGCCCAGGGTAAAGTCCTAGCCTTTGGGAGCATGTGGGAACTCCTCAGAATTGTCCTCAAAGGAGCCCCACTTTCACTCAGGTGATAAGGAGTCTTATAAACAGAGGGGCCCAGGGTTTGTAATCCAGTTCTAATGATGTTCCGGCTTCAGTTTTGCTAAATGAGTCCTAAAAGTCTTCATCCAGCTGCCCTCCTGGGCGAGCAGGGCATCATCCCTTAGTCTGTGCTGCCATCAGCTCCGTGTGGCTGGGAAGGTTTAACTTCCATTAAAGTTTGAGCCCTTGGCTTCAATATCTTTGCCCTTCAAAGGAAAGAAGTCTCTCCATGGTCTCCTGGGTTCTCTCTGGATCTGACAGTCAGTGGCAGTTTCTTTGATCAGAAAGCCGTTCATTTTCTTTAAAATATGATATCTATTTCAGTTTTTCTGTATGGCGAGTGAGAGACTCAGCCTGGCTTTGGGGGTCAGGGGACAGGGGACTTGCACTTGTCCATTAAAAGGTGAAGATGGAGGCTGGGGAGATGCTCAGTTGGTAAAGTGTTATGTAAGCCTTAGGACCTGAGTTCAGATCCCCAGCACTCAAGTAAAATTTCTAGGGCTAGTAAGGCAGAAATGGGGGTGGGGGGGCAGAGCTCTCAGAGCAACCAGTGCTAGCCACTCAGTGAGCTTCAGATTCAGTGAAAGAACCTATCCCCCCCCAAAAAAAAATACAAGATGGAAAGAGAGTGGGGGCGGGGATGGGAGAGATAACTGGTGTCAGCCTCTGGTCTTCTCATGTAAGTCCATGTGTGTGTATACACACACAGAAACAGGTGTGCATGCTTACACCAAACAAGTAAATAAGTAAGACACGGAGCAATACAGGTGCTGTGGTTGTGGTTCTGCTTGGAAACAGAGCCAATTGCCCAACTCAGGCGTGGTCCCCAGCGCTGTTCACATAAGACATCCACGATGGGTACATCTGGTAAGATATTAAGTAGAGAGGGCTTCCTTCCACTCCAGAGACACTGTCTTTTCCCTGTCGTCAGCTGAGAAATCTCCTGGTCTGTGTTTATCTTCTCCAGCCCCTTGTTGACCTCTCTTCCCTTTGACATCCTAGGATAAGCAGGGGATACCGTGGTGGCTGGGACTCAGCTATAAAGGAATCTTCCAGTATGACCACCATGATAAAGTGAAGCCAAGGAAGGTAAGGGTGCCTCTTCTGTGGGCTTGAGGACTTTATTTGAGAGAGGAGTGGGGTGGATGCGAAGGAACATTGCAGAGCCTGAGGGCTCACCAATCCTGTGTGTGTGTGTGTGTGTGTGTGTGTGTGTGTGTGTGTGACTCCACAATGATCTTGTCTGAGTTTCCTGGGTAAATATTTTCTCTCCCAGTCTCTAAGGAAACAAAGTGCTATAATTACTTAAGGTAGGGTGTTTGGCTACATCCTCCAAGAGCAGATGGGCAAACAGGCTCTGAGGAACTGTCGTGTATGTTCTTTCTCTTGGGGGCGGGGCTACATGTTTTGGCAAAATGAAGGAACATTGTCTCCTGAGGCCAATCTGGGTTCTCCATGATGTTTTTTTGGAATAAGGCCATAGGTCAAGGAGAGACAAAAAAATATAAAGACTTAGAAAAAGTTCTGAAAGTCTGGCAAATACCTTCACTCATAGGAGTGAACAGAGACTAGAGTCATCTGTCCCAGAGAAAGGGAGTCCAGTCACTGAAAACACAAATGTGTTTGTTTTTGCTTGCAAAATGTTTTTCAAACAAGAACAAATTGAAAACTTAAATGGAAAAATACTTTGGGGGTGAGAATGTACTGTTGGTCCATTATGCCTTCACAGACTGCTGCCCAAGCTGTTATATCCGTGACCAGGATAGAAACCCACCAATTACATCTGGGCTGACCACACTCTATGCACATCTGAGTTGACCAAACTCTATGCACATCTGGACTGGCCACACTCTAAGCACACCTGGCCTGACCATACTCTATTCACACCTGGGCTGACCATACTCTATGCACACCTGGGCTGATCATACTCTATGCACACCTGGACTGATCATACTCAATGAATACCTGGGCTGACTACACTCTATGCACATCTGGACTGATCACACTCTATGCACCCCTGGGCTGACCACACTCTATGCACACCTGAGCTGACCACACTCTATGCACACCTGAGCTGACCACACTCTATGCACACCTGAGCTGACCACACTCTCTGCACACCTGGGCTGACCACACTCTGTGCACACCTGGGCTGACCACACTCTGTGCACACCTGGGCTGACCACACTCTGTGCACACCTGAGCTGACCACACTCTATGCACACCTGAGCTGACCACACTCTATGCACACCTGAGCTGACCACACTCTATGCACACCTGGGCTGACCACACTCTGTGCACACCTGGGCTGACCACACTCTGTGCACACCTGGGCTGACCACTCTCTATGTACACCTGGGCTGACCACACTCTATGCACACCTGAGCTGACCACACTCTGTGCACATCTGGACTGACCACACTCTATGCACCCCTGGGCTGACCACACTCTATGCACACCTGGGCTGACCACTCTCTATGTACACCTAGGCTGAACGTCTATGAAGTAAGCATCTTAGTCCCCTTCTTCATTAAATTGGTAGTGGGAAAATGGCCCTGTCCTAGGAAGAATTTTCACTCAATTGGTCGGGAAATCATTTCACTTCTAAATAAATGTCATGAACAAACGATGGGGGTGTAGTCCTCTGGGAACGATGCGACAAGAACCTGCCTCTTTGGGGGAGTGTGCTGCTTTGTGTGGCAAGCTTCCAAACTTCCCTGTTTCCCATTTACACAGAAGAAGCGGATAGTGCCCCATGTTCCTGCTTTAACCCTCTTAATTTTATGGCTGTAGACCTGCACCTCTTCCTGGCTGCGTCTGTTCCCCCTGGTACTTTTCTCCATCTGGCCTTTCTAATTCTTTAGTTCCTTCTTCACTTCCTTCATCTCTTTTACATCACCACTTGTCTCTTCCCAACCAGCCCAACTGAGTTTTCTTCTTCTTGCAAATGACAAACACACTCCCAACACCTTTCACAAAGTCCTGGTCGCAATGTGTGCAGCTCTGCCTTGCCCTCCTTGGAAGGGGAAAGCTAGGGAACAACATAGCTTAGGACATTCACAGTAGTGGGCCTGATACCAGGGAGCTGTACTCAGGTACTTAGGTATTCAGCTGGAGCTTCAGAGTGTCAAGAACTTCCAAAGCATAAGTGAACCAAGGCCAGTGTGACTAACTGGGGCCACAGCAGGGTTCAGTCTTTCCCCCTAAGCTCTGTGAAAGGCTGGCCAACAGTACTGAAACTTCTGTCCACTGTATTCCTATGTAGGTGTTTTTTCTTGATTTCTCTTAAGTATAATTCTAATGAAAGTAATAATATAGCACTTGGTTATATGTCAAACCCAAGAGAGCCACATAACATAAATTAATCACTCTTAGTTAGACCTGAGTTTGGCTTCTAGTGCTCACAGAAAAATCTTTTAAAAAAGAAAAGGAAATAGTATCAACAGAGAAGGAAGGACAACAGCTGGACCCCAGAAAAGTCACCAGCACATGAGTGAAAATTTTCAGTTCTTCATCATAGAAATCCCTGGGAGACAGCCAGACGCTGTGTAGAGTTTGGGGGTCCTTGGGAAATGAATGCACCAGCTGAATATAAAGTTAGGAACAATCCTTCCATACCCCCATCAGGCCAAGTGATGCTTCTGCTCCATTAGCTTTGAGGGGTCTATGTGTCAGTCAAGATGCTAATGGGGTTTAAAGGCGAAACTGAAGAGTGAAAGGAAGCTACAGTTATGAAATCCCAGCTGCTGGAAGACTTGGGGAGGAGTCCTTTATCTCAGAACCCGACATCATTAGCATCACAAACCCCGTTTTGTTGTGTGTAGGACTCAGGAGAAGCTCTGCACAGCTCAAGCACAGGAACATGTGTGAAGGAGGCACATACTCCTGACTGCGAGTTATCCCTACAGGCTTGCATATGAGGTACCCCAAGTCCCTCCTTGGTACCTCCAGACCAAGATCTTAACCTCCTCTGTGTGTCAGAAACTCCAGGAAGAGGTTGGAACCCACAGCCTCTTTCCAGGGTCCACCTTGTCTCTCTGACTCTCTGCTATGAGTGCAGGAAGTATTACAAGGCTATCCACATGGGTCTGGAGGTTGGCACTGTCCCTCATGGCCATCTGTGCTTCCTGCACTCAGACTTGGGAAAAGTTGGCCAGGTAGAGCGGGCATGGCTGCGTGGTCCTGGGTACTGAGAGCCGGAGGGTTCCCAAGCACAGAGGATGAACAAGTCGCTCGCGAGGGATGTCCTCCAGGTGGTAGCATGCCCTCCTGGCACTGAGACCGGGTACATCTCCAGCAACTTAAGCCTCCACGGATGCTCAGGAGATGATCCGTGCCCAGATCTAAGTCCCTGGAGGCATCTGTGGCAACAGCTGCCTCTCATGCCCAGGCAGCTCTTCTCACCAGCAGCAAGCAGAGGCCCTCCCTGACACTCTGACCCACTTACGGCAGCTCTGGCACATGGCACCATAGTCCTAAGAGCCAACCTTCAGGCTAAGGCCGTGGTAAGGCTGAGCGCTCCTGCTTCCTCTGAAGGACTAAGGCTTGTCCTCTGTTATGCCACCAAGTGTTCCCATAGGGCTTGTCAAAAATGTCTCCCCAGGTCCCTAAGTGTCCAGAGCTGGTGGCCATCTCAAACCAGAAAGGACAGTAGCTTGGTCCTGGTTCTCTGGATGAGATGCCGCTTGCCACTCTAGTTTCGGGATCTTCCGTCTATCATCGAGTCCCGTTCTGAATGGCTCTGGAAAGGTGGTGTGTAAAGTGAGGTGCCTCTGAGCTTGAGTAGGAGGAAGAATAATGCTTCCTGCTAATAACGCCACACAGTGCACTACCTGGGTCTCTCCAGCAAGCGCAGCTCTCCATACAAGCTATGAACTTCATTTCAAACCATTTTTGAAAAAGCCCCATGATAGGAAGAGGCCTGTAACTCCAGGTTGCTGTGCTATAGACAGTTACAGGTCATCTGGGGCCATATAGTAAGATCCTGTCTCAAAAAGACATGGGAAACAGACCAAAGGAGAGGCAGGTGTATCTCTGTGAGTATGAGGCCAGTCTGGTCTACAGGGCAAGTTCCAGGACAGTCAAGGCTGTTATATAAAGAAACCTTGTCTAGGAAAAAAAAAAAGGTAAAAAGTAAATTTAAAGCAAAACAAAAACTTAGGTTTCTTTTCTTGCTTTTTTCCTCCCCTCAGAGTGTGTTTTGTCAGAGAGAATAAGGCATGTGGGGACTTTTTTAACAGTCCTTTTTAAAAACTTTGTTTCTATCTTTTGAGTGTGTTCAGAAGAATTCAGACGTTCTAAGTGAAAAGAACCAGGGGCTGGAGCCTGGAGGCAGGAACGGAAAAGGAGGCCGTGGGTGAACATTGCTGACTTGCTCTCCATAGCTTGCTCACCCTGCTTTCTTACACAGCCCAGGACCACCCGCCCAAGATGGCACAGCCCGCCATGGGCTGGGGCCTCCTATATTTATCAACAAGATGCCCTACAATCTTGGCTATAGGCAGTCTGATGGAGGCCTTTTCTCCTTGGAACTTCCATCTTCCCAAATAAGCCTAGTTTAACCAGCACAGATGCCAGGACAGAAGACTATTCCTCCAAATGCCCCAAAGTAGCAACAAGCAGGGTTTTTAAATGAATGAGATCTGTCAGGGGTGCACATTCCCCCACTGCGATGCTCCTTGTTTGTATTCACGATAGCTTCTGAGAATCCATTATAACATGTTGTATGAGCCGTTAGAGAACCCTCCATCCTCTCTCAGGAAATAATTGCTTGCATCCTTCATCCAGTGAAGTTTTCCCTCTTACCCCCAGCCTACCTCCCAGCTCCTGAGAGTTCTCACAGACCACACACGGCTTAGAGTCATCCCTTTGGCTATTGTTACACTCTTCTTTTCTTGCCAATGGGCAGTAATTCTGTTAATCTTTATGTATCTTAATATAGAACCAGAGGAGGGAATCTCTCTCTCTCTCTCTCTCTCTCTCTCTCTCTCTCTCTCTCTCACACACACACACACACATTCACACACTTTTGTCTTGGTTTATCCATGAATAATGAATGAGAAGATCATGGTGGCCGAGGGAGAAAACTC